CGCCTTGAGCATAAGCGAAAGAGGGCCCCGGTCTCACTGAGGCATGCCTTGTCAGGGAAGCAACCGCCCATCGACACGGCCATTGCATCGCGTGAGCAGTGAGCCAGCTTTCCCACAAAGAGAGGACACATCTTGTCTAGACTGTGCGTCCTGAACAGTCACCAGTTTTAAGATGCACCCTTTATCCACCTCTGAAGAGGATGGAGAGAGGGGGGCAGTCAATTAAACTCTGCCATGGTTTTTCGACTTCCATTTATATTGAAAGAGCTTCCTCCAGCTTAATCAGATATAGATTTCCATAACCTATCACTCTTAGGCATTTCTAAATGGAAAATGGGAGTAAATTGGCAAAGGCAATGACAATCATGTCACCAGGCTAACCACAACTGTCAGGTGCCACTGATTTAAGAGGAACGGCCCTGTTTCAGAATCGTGAAGGCTGAAAAGCAGGTGCATTGTAGAATCACCGAAATGCTGTATCATCTCTAGCTCAGTGATTGAAAAGCAAAAAGAGCAACAGTTATAAGATAAGTGCTACAAAGACATTCTACTGACTGAAAAATCTGCTAATGGGGAATTTTAAAAGTCAAGATTATTTGACTAACAAGGACAGGACGAGGATTGGAACTGAATAATGTTCTTCAAGGACATCCAATCTGCGCTTCACACAGCGGTTGCTTTCAGCTGTTTGTTTCCTTCTTTACATCTCCGGCACCAGGACTTCTTCTTTTTGAAATGACATCACACAGGAAACCTGAGAATGTGGCTGGAGTGGGGACATCAATCTGGCCGTGTGTGCCTGTGGCCCGTACCACTCAGTCCAACTGAAATCCCGACTCTCCACTCACTTCCTACGACAGCCACAACAAATGGCAAGTGTTTAACCAAACATTTGGTGTGGCTTGTGTAATATGAGGCACTGTTAGGTGCTCAGTATAGGAATACCAATCATGTAGGAGAATTAGGAAATACTTTCCACCTTCCAAAACAAGTTCAACTCCACAACAAATTAGCAAGAAATGCATTTCCTACTGAAATGTGGTGGGAGACATACATAACCCTTGGCAAAAATCAAATTACCACCGTTAGGCCCCTCTTGATATCGACATTGGTCCATCTTGATTCTCTGTATTCCTTATGCCTCTTCCTAAAATGATCTCTAAGATATCCTTTTAACCAATTGAATCCTGGCTCCAACCTAGTGTATCAGCACAGAGGCTGTCATCTGCTGTGCCGATTCCAGCTTCCTTCTTTAAAGACCTGGAGAAACTCATCCACTTTGTATGGGCCGGAAAGACACCCAGGATAAGCAATGCTTATCTACAGAAAGAACACGGAGTAGGAGGACTCGCACTTTCTGACCTCGAGACCTACCACACAGCCACCGTAGTGGGAACAGCCTGGTACTGGTACAATGACAGAGAAGTAGACCTAGAGAACCCAACATAATCCCAGGTATCTATAGACAATTGATTTCTGACCCAGGGCCAAAATGCAGCAAATGGGGAAGAGACAGTCTCTTCAACAAATGCTGATCAAACTGGATTTCCATTTGCATTAAAATGAAACAGGGTCCCTCCTTCACTCCATACACAAAAGCAAGCTCAAGATGGATCAAAGACCCAAATGTAAACCCAACAAGGTACAGAGAATCATTGAACAAGCAGGGACAAGCTTAGGGGCCTGGATATCTAACAAACACACTATCTAACATGATGAAACCCACCCAAGACAAAATGGATGACTGGCACCTCCTGAACGTAAGACACTTCCATGCAGCAAAGGTCTTTCCAAATGAGGAAGAAGAAAACCCACAGATGAGGGAAAACCGTATGTGTGGTGGTAGCAGATCTGGCAATGACATACAGGGCAAGGGACAAACCTCTAAAATCTATATAAGATTTCAACACCTTAACAAGAAAAAATATAGAAATCTAATTTAAAAATGGGCAGAGGACTTGAACAACTGACAATGAAGACATCCAGGTGGCAGACCAACAGGTGAAAAAGTCAAGAGATGCAGATTAGAGCAGTGATGAGATGACACCTCACTCGGACATTGATCGCAAAGTGAAAAACAAAAACAAACAAAACCCCAGGAAAAAAAATCCTGGAGAGGGTAACAAGAGAGATTTGAACCCTTCCACACTGCCAGTGGGATGACACAGCAGTACAGTCAGTGTCGAAAGTTGTATTCTCAATCTGGAATAGAAATATCATGACCCAACAATCCTTCGCCTTGTCATTCACTCAAAGGAAATAAAGAACACAGCATGAACAAGTACATGCACACCCATGGTCTTCACAGCTCTTTTTACAATAGCAAGAGGGCGGAAACAGCTTAAATGCCCATCAGTGGAAGAATGGGTAAGTAACACTTGGCAACACAATGGAATATTACACGTCGTTAAAGAATGATAATGTGTTATTCTGGGTAGACTAAAGAAACAAATTCATAGAAACACTCATATGTGTATAAGAGCTTTATATACAATATCAATTGAATATTGAGAAAACATCCCAGTCCAGTCCAGATCAAGTCCATGAGTCCGCTATTAGCCTGTATGTCCTATACCAATCTATGAATTCCTCTTCAGACTCACTCAACACATGCAATGGCGCTGAATGCAGGAAGCTCACAGGCCAGTGGGTGGATGGAAAGTCTTGTGGATCCAGTGGTGGTGTAAGCATCCCAGTGCTGGCAGGGATCTCTACTTGGCTCCTCCAGCTCAGGGCACTAGCTCAGCTCCAAGTGTCTTATCAGCTGGAATGTCTCCCAGGGAGTCCTCAGGCAATTTGCATTCCAAAAGACTTGCCTAGGGGGCTGTTGACAGTTGAAGAACAGGAACTTTGGCTTTTTGAATCTTGAACCAATGGTTTTTTGTCAGTAACTGCAAAAAAATCTGGAACCAGGAAGAAGACTCTGCTCTAGGACTGAACTGTTAAAGGGAGCCTGTGGGCAGGCTGAAATGCTTGCTAGGTGACCACCGGTATCCACTTGTTGAGAAGTGAGAGAAATGCAACAATAAAGAGACAGGTTAAGTCTGGCCACTGACACTCATGGACTTGGTTTACAGGATCTAGAGAAGGAGAGCGGCTTGACTAGTCTGAAGTTCTTGACCTAGCACAAGGGGGCTAGGCTTGTTGAGAATTTGTGATGAGTCCATGGTCTAAAGGCAAGGCAACCAATGGGCACCCTGGTGAGGCTAAGTGGGGCAGCCCAATTGAGTTGACCAGAACCCAACCAGATGAAGGGAAGATTTTTCAGCCTGTGAACTGGTGTATATGGCTGCTGACTTTAAGGATGGCCTGTCCTGATTTGACTTTGCTTATGGATGCAGACATAACTGTAATTAAGATTCTTCACGTCTCCTCACAGCACTGGGATAATGTTAAGTGGGAAGTATAGAATTTGGATACCTAAAATTGGTCAGATAAAGGCATGAAGTGGCTGGCTTATAAACTTTCATAGGTGAGGGAATATATTCATAGAAATATGTTCATAGGATTATGGGGGAGGCATTCACGTAAGTATAGGATATTTTTGTTTGTTGATTTATTGAATGTTATGTTTAAATAAGGGTGGCATATATTGAATTGTGTGCATTCTAGTTTTATCTTGTTAGGTACAGATATGATTTTATTATTGTTTGTTTGAAAATTATATATGGTCAAAGAGTTGTGTGAAAGTATCAAATCGACAAGAGGGTGGTCTGTGAGTTACATAATCTGTTGTCAATTTGAGACTTAAGACTGAAGGGATGGAGTTTAGCCTGTCAATCGGGTTGCAGCTTGATTACCTCATTAAGAAGAGCTAAGGAGATAAATAGCTTGTTTAAGGCAGGGCACATGCTCATTCCCTGTGAGACATTCCTGATAACAAGACACATGGAGCTGCGCTAGAGCAGAAGGAGCCACATGGAGACCCACGCCAGTGCTGAGATGCTTCCACCACCACTGGATCCACAAGACTTTCCACCCACTGGCCAGTAATCCTCCTGCATTCGGCATCATTGCATGTGCTGTGTGAGTCTGGAAGAGGAATTTATAGACTGGTATCGGATATGGGCTAATATCTGGCTTATGGACTTGATCTGGACTAGGCTGGGATATTTTCTCAATATTTAATTGCTCATATATAAAGCCCATTCTTATTCATGTATCAGTGTCCATGAATTTGTTTCTCTAGTCTACCCAGACTGAGACAAATAATGAATCCGAAAACACATTCTAGCATTGATAGATTTAGAGGACCTTATGGTGAGTGAAGTTAGTGAATCATAAAAGGACAAATATTGGATGTGACCACTGTTATATAAAATAAATCAAGATAAAGGTTTCAGACTTAAAGAAACAGACTCTAATGATTCCCATGGCTGGGAGGGGAAGGGATGGAAGGAGAAGTAACAGGCTAGAGGGCAGACAAGTGTTAACTTGGGTGAAGGAATCTTACAAGAGGGAGCTGGGCAAAAAAAAGTTGCAGGTGGGGTGGGGGCACAGGGCAAGCCATTGAGAGGGTGGAGCAGCTGTGGAATGCAAAAATGATGATCTGATATATAGACTCCCACACCTAAAAAATTAAAAATAGACACAACTGTAGCTGTTTGGAAAGGGAACTGCATGTTAAAAATAGAAGAAAGAAAAAGGTATCCCTGAAGTGTGGCAAGAATTATTCTTCCTGATAAATAATGATTCTTCCTTTCCTCTACAAATCAACCTTACAGCATTTTTCCATATTATTAGTATGACTTAATTCAATAAGAATAGCATACGAAGGATGCATGGAGGTAGGTGACTAAGCAGGATCATTCTGCATGTCAGAGCTAGGCATCCCCTTACAGATGAGGAATCCGAGGCCTGAGGAGGCTACGGGAGACCATGAAAGGCACACAGATTTGCCAGGAGGAGTCCAGGTTGGAAGCCAGCCACACCACCTGGTGAAGAACCGAAAACAATGCTTCCATTTCCTTTGCACTTCAGAGGTACATGTTCATGCTTACCAGAATGACTTCAAAAATGAGTGGGATCAGCTTGCTTTCTTCCACAAGTCTGTTAAAAAGAGAGAGATACCCAAGCATTAGATCATTCCCACTTCAACTGCTGCCCTGATATGAAGCGTGGTGCATTGCAGCCCGTGCTTTATTGCCGAGAGTCTGTGAAATAGTATGATTAAATGCTCATTTTTAATACACTGCACGACAGCTATTAAACACAGAAAATATGAGGTTTCTTTGCAAGTCACATTTGCAAGTGACTTCCAGCCTAGCCTTACTGCTCTGTGAAATCACAAACAAACTGCCATTTTTACATGTGAAAATTCAATGAAACTCAGACCTATTAAAAAGGTTATCAAAATAAGAAATGGCAACTGGAGGGAGAGTGCTGGTGGGGCCTCGGTTAAGCACATGGCTGAAATGAGACCAGCCCTCATGACACAAATTGTAAGTATGCCACACTGTACTTTTTATGTATGCCTCATTAGCTAACTTCTCAGCATTAATGAATTAACATACAATGAATTTTTAAGTTCAATTTTTTTAATTGGATACCAATCATCACTAGACTATAAGCACGCTGTCTTATGAAACTTTGTTCTAATTTACCATCTAGTACCACAGTATTTTTTCATACCATTTAAGAGAAAATAGCCTTAAATAATCTAAACTATTCAAAAGTGAACATTTCTATTAAGAAAAAAATACTTCAATTTCCAAATATTCTTTTAGGCCAGGGTGTAGTAAACTTTTTCATAAAGGGACAGACAGTAAGCATCTAGGCTTTCCAGACCACAGAGTCTCTAGATTCTAGACCAGGTGTATTCAAACTATGGCCGAGGACATTTATCCAGCCCACCTGGTGTTTTTGCCCCATTTTGTTTTTTTACTTCAAAATAAGATATCTGCAGTGTGCATAGGAATTTGTTCATAGGTTGTTTTTTTTAACTATAGTCCAGACCTCCAAACGTTCGAGGACCCCTGCTCTGGACAATGACTCTCAACCTGTGGGTCACGACCCCTTTGGGGGTCGAATGACCCTTTCATAGGGGTCACCCAATTCATAACAATAGCAAAAGTACAGTGATGAAATAGCAACAAAAATAATTATATGGTTTGGGGTTCACCACAACATGAACTGTATTAAAGGGTCGTGGCAATAGGAAGGTTGAGAACCACTGGTCTAGAGTTAAGTATTCCAGCTCCATCATTATAATATGAAAACAGACAACACAGAATTGAATAGGAGGGGTTGAATGCCAGTAAAACTTTATTTACAAAAACAGATAGCAGGCCCCGGCTATAGTGTATGAACTCTTGGTGTAGCGGGAAATTATGCATCTCCGTATTTCTTGTCCATTGGCATACACCAAACGAACTGCCATCTAGTAGATTCTAATGCACTGGGACCTAAAGGACTGAGAAGAACTGCCCTGTAAGGTTTAGAAGATAGCATTATTTGTAGCTCTTTTCATAGACCACTTGTCTGCCTGGTTGCTGTACTGTGGTGGCTTGTGTGTTGCTATGATGCTGGAAGCTATGTCACTGGTATTTCAAATACCAGCAGGTGCAGTCAGGGTGAACAGGTTTCAGCAGAGCCTCCAGATGAAGAACAGAACCAAGAAAGAGCAGGCTATTCACTTCAGGGAACTTAGTCATTGGCAACCTTATGTATAGCAAGACCAACGACTTCTCCATCACAAATACCTTTCTCCAACAACACAAATGGCGACTATACACATGGATTTCTCCAGATGGAAGACAGAGAAAACAAAAAAAGGTGACAAACCAACTCCTAGCGACGACACAATTGGGCAGGGTAGAATAGTCCCTGCGTGTTTCTGAGACTGTAACTCTGTATGAGGTTAAAAGCCCTGTCTCTCTCTTGCAGTGGCTGGTGGTTTCAAACTGTTGACCTTGCAGGTCTCAGTCCAATTCATAACCAATTGCACTGAAGGCACTAGGCAAAAACCAGGCTCCAAGAATTGGTGGAATATCAATCGAAATGTTTCAACAAGCTAATGAAGCACTGGAAGCGCTCACTCATCTATGTCGGAGAATTTGGAAGATAGCTACTTCACCAACTGGCTAGCAGAGATCCATATTTTCACTCATTCCAAAGAAAGGTGACCCAACAGAATGTGACAATCACAGAATATCATTAATATCACATTCAGATAAAATGTTACTGAAGACCATTCAGCAAGGGTTGCAGCCGTCCATTGGCAGGGAGCTGCCAGAAATTCAGGCCGGATTCAGAAGAGGACATGGAGCAGGAGATAGCACTGCCGACATCAGAGGGACCTTGATGAAGCTGAAAACCAGGAAGATTTTTATGGACTATGCAAAGACATTCAACTGCATAGGCCATATTAAACTATGGTTAGCCTTGAGAAGAATGGGAATTCCAGAACATTCCTTTCTGTTCATGCTAAACCTGTACATAGATGAGGCAGTTGTGCAAATAGAACAAAACATGGTTTAAAATCAGGCAAGGTGGGAGTCATGGTTGTATCCTCTCACCACACTTATTCAATCATCAGAGAAGCTGGCTTACATGAAGAAGAATGAGATATCAGGATCAGAGGAAGGTTTATTAACAACCTGCGATGCACAGGTGACACAACCTTGCTTCCTGAAAGTGAGGAGGACTTGAAGCCCTTGCTGATGACGATCAAGGATTGCAGTTTTCAGTATGAGTTACAGTATGAGTTACAACTCAGTGTAAAGAAGAATGAAATCTTCATAACTGGACCAAAGGTAACATCATAGTCTTTGGAGGAAAGGTAGAAGTTGTCAAGGATGTTGTCTTGCGTGGATCTAAAATCAGTGTCTAGGGAAGCACAGGTCAAGAGGTCATGGATGCATTGCACTGGGCAAATCTACTGCACGAGATCCCTTTAAAGTATTGCAAGCAAGGTTGTTACTGTATGTCCTAAGGTGACCCAGCCCACGCTATTTCAATTGCCTCACATACTCGGGGGCCTCCCCAAACTGGAATTGCACTGGGCAGAGCAGAGCTTGTGTGGTACGTATTGTTCCTGCTAGGTGAGCATCGAACAACTCCCTCTGATTAGTGCATCCAGTGGAATTACCTGGGAAGGTTCTCTCTGGTCACAGTGATTTTTGTGTGTGTGTGACAGCAGTTTCACTTGAAGCTCATTCTTTGTGATGACCAATGTAGGACAACAGCATGCAGCTGTGAAATTTTGTTTCCTGCTCAGGAAAAATGCCCCATAAACTGTTGCAATGTTGAACACGGCTTATGAGGACAGCGCGATAGGAAAAACTCAAGTGTAAGAGTGGTTTTCTTGTTTCTAAAGAGGTGAAATGTCAATTGATGACAAACCTCATTCTGGATGTCCGTCAACTTCTCAAACAGATGAAAATGTCAACTCATAGTGCATTGGGAGTTCATTCCACGAAGTTAGACTGTTAATCAAGCTTTCTATTTAGAGGTTCTGAAAAGATTGCATTCCAGTGTGCAACAAATAAGGCCCGATTTGTGGCAGACAGGGACTGGTTTAGCCACCATGACAATACACCTGCTCGTGCAGCCATCTCGCTGGGCCAGTTTTTGGCAAAAAACAGCATGCCTCTCTTGCCCCACGTACCTTGCTCCCTTGCTACATGTGACTTCTTTGTTTCTGTGAATACAGAGGGACATACAAGGGCAGCAATTTGACAATGTAGAAGTGAAGGAAAAAAAATGAGGAAGGTGCTGTCAGCCATCCAAAAAGATGAGTTTGAAAAATGTTTCCAAGAATGGAATCACAGATTTGACAAATGTATTAAATGTAATGGAAAGAGCTTTGAAGGTGATAAGATTGTTCTATTAAAAAAATTAATAGTTTTGGGGGGAACTGTTTGGGGGGGTACCCCCTTGTACATGTGAAAGTCGGACAATGAATAATGGAGACTGAAGAAGACTTGGTGCTTTTGAAGTATGGCTCTGGCACAGACTACTGAATTACCATGCACTGCCAAAAGAACAAACACACTTGTCTTGGAACGGGTACAGCTAGACAGCTCCTGAAAAGCAGAGGAGGAGGGGAGATGTCATCTCAGATACTTCCTCAGGAGAGACCAGTCCCTGGAGAGGGACATCATGCTTGGTCAAGCATAAGGGCCGTGAAAAAGAGGAAGGCCCTGGAGAAGATGGATTGACACCGTGGCTGCAACAACAGGCTCAAACATAACACTTGAGAGGATGGCAATGGACCAGGCGGTGCCTTTCTGTTGTACACAGGGTCGCTGTGAGTCCGAAGTGATTTCCCAGCACCTACCAACAACGATCTTTATAGGAGATTGGCATATGCTTCTCCCACGGAGCAGCTGGTAGGTTAAAACCAGTGATATTCTTGTTAGCGGCCCAGCACTTGAGCAGTGCAACACCAGGGCTTTTAACCCAGCCTGGCAGATCCTGCAAATCACTCCACACATGGCCATCTCATTTGTGTGGCTCAATCAGAGTTCGCCACCATGATTTATGCCATTTTACTACATGAGCCCGCGATACCCTTAATCCTGAAACAATCAATGTGCATGGTTTATAGACATAACAACGGGCAAGAAATGAAGAGAGTTTGCTGGATGTTTTCAACCAAATACAGATTTTTGGAATTATCACCGTGTGTGTTAGTCCAGGTGGACTAGAGAAACAAATCCATAGACACTCATGTGTATAAGAAAAGAGGTTTATAAACAAGAGCAATTGAATATTGAGAAAACATCCTAGCCCAGTCCAGATCAAGTCCATAATTCTGATATTAGCCCATCTGTCCTATATCAATCTATAAAGTCCTCTTCAGACTCAAGAAACACATGCAATGATGCCAAATCCAGGAAGATCACAGGCTAGTTGGTGGGAAGTCTTGTGGATCCAGTGGTGGAGTAAGCATCTCTGCACTGGCAGGGGTCTCCATGTGGTTCCTTCAGCTGCAAAACTCTGACTGCATCAGGGTAGCTACATGTGGCTTTTCCTCAGAAATGTCTTGCAGGGAGTGAGTCTCAAGAGAGTGTCTCCCACCTCCAAGGAGGAAATCCAGGAGTTCC